ACACACACACACACACGCACACACACACACACACACACACACAGACACACAGAGAGAGAGAGAGAGAGAGAGAGAGAGAGAGAGAGAGAGAGAGAGAGAGAGAGAGAGTGCCCTCCTCTCTCCCAGCACATCCCGACTCCGATCCGGTGCATGGCAGATGACGAGGGTCACGTATGCACCTTTGGACTCCCTTGTGTACCCTTCTCCACCCCTGTTTTCACTCTTCCCGCTCCGAGAGAACGGCAGGTTCCACCGTCTTTTCTCGTCTTTTTTATTTTGAGATGAACAAGAGACCGAGCGAGCGAGCCAGCGAGCGAGCGAGAGAGAGAGAGAGAGAGAGAGAGAGAGAGAGAGAGAGAGAGCATCCCGGCTCGGATCGCGATCTGCTTAAATGGAAGTGCCTCCGTTCTTCGCCGAGTTTCATCTGTCTTGTTCCTGTTTCGTTTTGCTGTGTGTGCTGTCTGTGCCTATCCTCGTGTACAGAAAATGGGACAGGACGGAAAGGCCGCTCGCGAAGATCAGCGATCTCGTTAAGTCGGCCAAAGCCCTTCAATGACATATCTCTCGCGCTAGGTCTTGTTGCTCGTTGTCTTGCTTCTTCTTTGTCTGCCGTCTTCCTTTGTGTCCAATCTTCCTTCTTGGGAAACGCAGCAACAGCGTCCGTTTTTCTAGTGGCTCCAGGAACGTCGTCCGTTTCTAGCGGCTCCAGCCTCCAGGAACGTCGTCCGTTTCTCGTGGCGAGCGGCAATAGAGAGCCTAGGACTCCCATTTCCATGTGAAGGGCATGACAAAGCTCGCGCTCTTCATATCTTCATATCGGCATTTCGGTGGTTCCATGAGAAGCATGCCTTCTGGCACGCTTCGGCTCTTGGCAGCGTGAATCCAAGCATGCCATGCCCGGCTACAGGAGCCACTCCCCTTTTAAAGATGTACTATCCTCACCCGCGCCTTCGCACCACCACATTCCTCCCCTCCCTGGGACACAAACCCAGCCCTCGCATGCCAGCCCTCGCCTTCCATAGGCCGTCCTCATGACGTCCTGCTGGAAGAACCGCCCTTTCCCATGAGGACGCCCCGCTGGAAGAACCGCCCTTTCCGCGGGGCGGAACGTGGCGGACGAGCTCCGCCGCCGAAACCATAGACGTGACGAACACTTCTGTAGCGCTGCGAACATGGCGGAGAGAGATGGCTCCATGATTCCATTCGTGGGGAGCTACGCCTCCTGCTGGAAATCGGGTCCAGCGTCCCTTAGAGATCACAATCAATTCCACTTAAAACAGTGTGGACTGCTGTCCAGTATCTTCAAGCTGGAATTGCATAGAGGGTGCCAACCCTCCCTTGCACGAACCGCTTCACCAGAATGGGCGCCAGCTAAGAGTGACCTCCTACCTTCTTCCCCCGAATACAACGCACGGTCATAATAGCTGTATTTAGACTGAAAGATACGCCAAATTCAACTATAATGACAGTACGTTGTATTCGGGGGAAGAATGTAGTCCGTGGGTGCATCGGCATGCCTATCAGTCGGACTTTCTAGGCTGTGGGCCAATAGGCCAGCGCTGTCAATAGCCGCCTCGAATCGTCCCAGAATGAACACAGCAGGTTTTGTGTTTTTGCCTGCAGGAGGAAAACAAACAATGTCAAGTTTCAAGTCAAAGAGGTTGAGTGAAATCACTACTACGTAATATAGCCATCTCCGGGGGCCTTGACCCA